AAAAAAAAAAAAAAAAAAAATCTAAAGAGCACCAGTGGCTCACGCCTGTAACCCTAGCCACTCAGGAGGCTGAGATCTGAGGATCACGGTTCAAAGCAAGCCCAGGCAGGAACGTCTGTGAGACTCTTATCTCCAATAAACCACTAGAAAACTGGAAGTGGCGCTGTGGCTAAAGCAGTAGAGCACTCGCCTTGAGCTGAAGAGCACAGGGACAGCGCCCAAGCCCAGAGTTCAAGCCCCACGATCGACAAAAAAAAAATCTAAAGATTGAGTCTCAGATCTCAGCCTCCAGAGTAGTGAGGATTACAGGCTTGAACCACCATATCCCATATATACATACATACATATATATATATATATACACACACATATATATGTATATATATACACATACATACTAAAAATGTTTTTCAAAAGAAGTAAAATCAGTTCAGCATCATCCATTTGTCTACAGTTACACCAAACCTTAAGTGTCCCAGAAAGACCTCCATTGGAATAAGGTGGAAAAAAAAAATATGTTGGTTAAAGTCAGGACAAAAGAGATTTTTTCTAAAAATGGTGACTAGGTAAAAGACTTTGTTAAGCAGAGAACAGAACCCAACAGAAGTATTCCGGAGTGACTGTGAGGAAGGAAAGGAAAAGCCAGGATACCCTAAACCAAGGGTGAGGAAGCATAAAGCTGGTAAGGTGATGAGGACACAGCTTAAAAGAGGGCTTACATCTTGGGCGAAAACCAAGTATAGAAGGGATCTGAAGCAGGGGAGGTTGGGCTGGCCACATGTATGTCAAAAGCCGAGTGGTCCTTTGATGGGCACTGAGGCATAAATGCCTCAAAATTCAGCTTGTACCCTTGGATGGATTGCACTTCCGTCCCTCTTAGAAGACGAAGACTATGACGTTGACTTCAAGCTGGATTGTGGAGGCTCCAAGACGGGGCTGTGAATTCCAGTCTGCTGACATGCAGGCTCCCAAGGAGAGTAAGAGGCCTGGTCTTGTATATACTGGTGGATAGAAGCATAAACTATCTTACATTATTTTTGACAGTTTTCTGTAAGAATAATTGGCCTGTTTTAACAACCTTTTAATGAGAAAAGGCAGTGTGTGTTCATTAGATTTAAGGCAAGAAAAAAGATGTCTAAAGTTCAACGTTTTCGTCATTCTGTGAATCCTACTCTCAAGCTAGCTGTCTCGCCGATTAGAGATAGAGCCTATTTTAGACTTTAAAACAAACAAACAGTTCCCAAATACCTAATAGTGAGGCAGGAATGCCGAAGACATTTAACAAAATTACCGACCTCCTAATTGATCTTGAGTTACCTCAGGTTTTTGTTTCTGGTTTTGTGTGTGTGTGTGTGTGTTTTCACAGAAAGCTGCTAAAGAAAAATGAATCTATATATTAGAAACAAGCTTTTTTCCTTCATGTCAAAATTCAATGTGTCTCTCCACGCTGAAGTACAAACGTACTTCAGTGTCCATGCTGGGCACCGGTGGCTCACGTTGGTAGCCCTAACTATTCAGGAGAGTGAGATCAGGAGATCGCGGTTCGAAGCCAACATGAGCAGGCAAAGTCGGTGAAAGTCTCTAATTAACCACCAAAAAGCCAGAAGTGGAGCTATGGCTCAAGTGGTGCGAGACTAGAAGCAAAAAAAAAAGCTCAGGGACAGCGTCCAGGCCCTGAGTTCAAGCTCCAGTACTGGCACACGCATGCACACGCACGCACACACAATACTTCACAATCAAATGCAACAAGGGAACTCCACGAAACACACCCTCCCGCAACCCCCGAGTACTTATTAGCCCGTTTTCCACATCCCTATTCATCTCTGAGGAGAAATAATACGCGCTCACCGACTCGAAGCTTGCTGGGAAAACCCGCGAAATCCAGTCGCCCGCCCGCTACCACGATCTCCGGGAGCGACTTCCGGCGCGCGTGTTGCGACGTCAACACCCCGCGCCGGCCCCCAGAACCCCGGGTTTCTTGAGATCCGGGAAGAGGCGGCGTCTGCTTTCGGATCTCGGTGCTACACTCCTTCCAGGACCTGAGATGCTTAAACTTCTGCAAGGCTGGTGGCACTGTCGGGGTTGAGCCCCATCTTAGCCTAGGCCTTTCTTCGGTTATCCGGACTTGCCCCCACCTGAAGGTAAAAGCCTCCTCTGCTCTTACGGCCTTAACCCCGGGCCCTCACCAGCCCGAAGGATACGCTTCTCCTCCGTCACCCCTTTTATTCCAGGCAATTCACCTGTAACCTGCACGAGATACTTTAAAAAAAAAGCTACGGATGTTGATTGGTTTCCAAAGTAATCTTCCCCACTACTCACCTCCAAGCATTAAGCCAATTTTCCAAACTACTGCGCGAATTGACAAGCTCTGTGTGTGTGTGTTGACAAGCTCTGTGTGTGTGTGTGTGTGTGTGCAAGTGCAAGCGCGCGCCTGTCCTAGGACTTGAATTCACGGTCTGGGCTCTGTCCCAGAGCTTTTTTTCCCCCAATGCTGGGGGTTTGGGGTAGATAATTGGATATAAGACTTCCAGGGACTTTTCCTTCTTTCTCTATTTCGAATCACGATCCTCAGAACTTAGCCTCCTGAGTAGCTGGGATCTCAGGCATGAGCCACCAGAGCCTAACTCTCGTTTCATAAGTTGGTGATAACATCCAAAATGAAGAATTTCAAAGAACTTTACATTGTCAAGATGTGAAACTAAATTTTTCTCTCAGCATCACCCCACTATATATAATATTATATACATATATATCATCACAACTAAAAATTATTAGCAAAAATCAGTAGTTCAGGCTCTCATTTGATGTGTGAGTGGGTTAGGAAGCACCTTCTAGCTCTAGGCCTTAGAAACTTGAAAGAGTAGCCTGGGGTTTTTCCTTTATCTAGTTTCAAAATAAAACCTTCTTCCAGCTGGGAATGTTAATTAGTGATAGGGTGCTTGCCTAGCATGCATGAAGTCCTGGGTTCAATTCCTCAGTACTGCATAAACAGAAAAGGCCAGAAGTGGTGCTGTGGCTCTAGTGGTAAAGTGCTAGCCTTGAGGAAAAAAAAAGATTTCTGGGACAGTGCCTGGGCCCTGTGTTTCAGCCCCAGGCCTAGCAAAAACAACAACAACAACAACAAACACTCCTCTCAGAGCCCAAATAGCCCTCTACTAAAAAGGTCAGAACTGTAGCTTGGGAAAAGAAATTCCTTAAACCACTCATTCTGAAAATGTAAGCAGGGTGTGAAAGTCAGCCTTAATTAAATCAGTGATTTTTCAGTATTTGATTTCATGTCAATTTAGGAATATCTACTTTAAAAATGCTTATGAATTGATTTCTATTTCAGAAATGAGTGGTGGCTTGGCCCCGAGTAAGAGCACTGTGTATGTGTCCAACTTGCCTTTCTCCCTGACAAACAATGACTTATATCGGGTAAGTTTCACTATTAGTACACAAATCTACTAAATTATTTAAGAAAGAGAATTAATGTAAGCCAGTAGTATTCTATATACTGAGAAGGGAATAGAAAGACAGATCTGAGAACTGAAGTTAAAATCAGACTGGTCAGAAAAATCTCCAGTTAACTAGCAAAAAGCAAGAAGTGCATGTAGCTCAAGCCTGTTATTTAAGCGAGTAGATTTTTCTGGTTAAAATTCTTAATAGGTACATTATAATGTACTTGTGCCATCAAAATAAAAAACATTGGGGCTGGGAAGATGGCTCAATGGTAGAGTGCTTGCCTTGCATGCATGAGGCCCTGGGTTCGATTCCTCAGCACCACATAAGCAAAAAGAAAAAAAGCCGGAAGTGGCACTGTGGCTCAAGTGGTAGAGCGCTAGCCTTGAACTGAAGAGCTGAGGGACAGCGCCCAGGCCCAGAGTTCAGGCCACACGACCAGACCAAAAAAAAAAAAGAAAATCAAAAACATCTATTATAAATACAAATAAGTGAAAAAATTACAAACCTATAATTTCCAAAGAGAATTTACTGTGGTTTTATGGGGAATAGCAAGTTTCATAAACACAGAAGATAACCTGGGCTAGGTAGATATAATCCTAGCACTCCAGAGATTGAATTCGAGGCCACCTTGGGCTTATCTCAAAAAGCCAAAACAAAGAGAACAAAGTCTAATAAACAGGGGCTGGGAAAGTGCTTACCTTGCATGCGAGGCCCTGGGTTTGATTCCTCAGCACCACATAAGCAGAAAAAGCCGGAAGTGGCCGCTGTAGCTCAAGTGGTAGAGATGCTAGCCTTGAGCAGAAGAGCTGAGGGACAGCATCCATGCCCAGAGTTCAGGCCCCACGACCGGCCAAAAAAATAAATAAAATTTTAAAAATCCAATAAACACAAGATTCAACTAGCATAATGAAGTAGGAACCATTGTGGTAGGCTAATTCTTCCTGCTTGCTTAATTGGCTTTTAAACTGATAATAGAGTGGAAGTTTTGGAGGAATAGACTAATAAGAGCAAGTTGCTCCCTTCCCTGTCAGGTTAAAGAAGTATGTGTATCCTAGTGTGTGTGTGTGTGTGTGTGTGTGTGTGTGTGTACGTATATGGAGAGAGGAAGCTGCTACACAGTTTCATTATTTTGTTTTTAATTCAGGATAAGAGTGATGGGAGGAGGTGGAATTTCTTCTGGCATGTTTTTTTACCTTGTTACCTTACATTTGTCCTGTAGATGGGTGGTTGAGAGGAACTGGAAAAAAAGAATATGAATTCTTTGCATAGATTTAAAAAGATTCCTGCATATGTTATACATAGTACTTTGGTTGAGATAGTTTGAGCTTCAAAGAACAGGAGAAAAATTTACTATTTCTCAATAGAATTAAGAAATAGTGGTGGTCTGTATTTCCAGCTACTCAGGAAGTGAAGGTAAGATTACAAGTTTGAGACCAGCCTGGGCAAACAAATGAGACCCTATCTCAAAAAAAGAAAGAAAGAGAAAGAAAGAAAGGAAGAAAGAAAAAAGAAAGAAAGGAAAGAAAGAAGGAAAGAAAAGGAAAAAGGTGTGGAGGATGAAGTTTGAGTAGTAGAGTACTTGCCAAGCAAGCATGAGGCCCTGGGTTCAATGCATCACCAGAAAAACAAGAGATTTGCGTGTGTGTGTGTGTGTGTGTGTGTGTGTGTGTGTATGTGAGAGAGAGAAGAGAGAGAGAAAGAAAGAAAAAACTAGGGCTTGAACTCAGCCTGAGCATTGTCCTTGGTCTTTTTTGCTCAAGAATAGTTTAGTGCTATACCACTTGATCCACAGCTCCACTTCTGGCTTTTTGCTGGTTAATTAGAGACTCAAATACTTTCCTGCCCAGACTAGCTTGAAACATCGATCCTCAGATCTCAGACTCCTAAATAGCCAGGATTACAGAGATAAGCCACTTATACCCAGCCCCCCCTCCAAAAAAAAACTTAATATATTGAATTCTTACTATATGCTAAATACTTTAGTGTACAAAAGACGTGGTATTGAAGAGAAAGAAGCCACGTAAAATATGAAAAAGCCAAATTTGTCCAGGTATTGTAATCATGCCTATAATCCTAGCACTTGAAAGGCTGAGCTAGGAGGATCATAATTCAATGACTGCATGGGGAGACTGCTATTAGAAATTACTGGTCCGGCCAGGTACCAGTAGCTCATGCTTATTTGATTTTTTTTTTTTGGGGGGGGTCCAGTCGTGGGGCCTGAACTCTGGGCCTGGGCGCTGTCCCTCAGCTCTTCAACTCAAGGTTAACGCTCTACCACTTGAGCCACAGCGCCACTTTGGCTTTTTTTCCTTTTGCTTATGTGTTGCTGAGGAATTGAGCCCAGGGCCTCATGCATGCAAGGCAAGCGCTCTACCACTGAGCCACCTTCCCAGCCCTAGTAGCTCATGCTTATAATCCTAGCTACTCAGGAGGCTGAGATTGGAGGGTAAAAGGTTGAAGCTGCCAGTACAGGAAAGCTCATGAGACTCTAATCTCATCAATTAACTACCAAAAAAGCAGGAAATGGAGAGCACTAGCCTTGAGCACCAAAGCTCAGGGACAGTGCCTAGAGCCTGATTTGAAGCATCAGGATGAGTACCAAAAAAAAAAAAAAAATAGGGAGAGGGAGAGAAATTTCTGGTCCTGTGCCTCCAGTATTACTAACATCAGAGACCAATTATTGCTTAATTGCAGCATTATACAACTATTCAAAGACCTCAGAATTTTATTGTTGTTGATTGTTTATATTAGGGTATTATGAAAGAGTTTCCTACAGAACATGATATAATAAGAACTATAAGTGTATAGATAGATACTGGCTGAAATTGTAGCAACAGATGAGATGGCTTAGGGTGCAGATGTAGAAGTAAAAGGGAAGAAAAGGTCAGAGGATGGAGATCTATGAAATGGGGTTTTTCTTCTTTTTTTCCTCTCTCAAGATAAGAGTATGGTGGCTGGGAATGTGGCTTAGTGGTAGAGTGCTTGCCTAGCATGCATGTATGTAGCCCTGGGTTCAATTCCTCAGTACCACATAAACAGAAAAAGCTGGAAGTGGCAGGCCAGCATGCAACTCATGATCCTACCTCAGCTTCCTTAGTGCTATGATGACAGGCTTTTCACTACTCCACTCACCAGAAATGGATTTTCCATTACAAGTTCATATACATATGTATAAGTAGTCTAAGGTCTGCTTAGAAGTAATAGTTTACACCATGAGCAGAGAAAAGCAATAGTGATATTCCACAATATTAATAACTGAAGCACAGAGTTTAGCTGGAGCTATGGAGGAGTTGATAGTTGCCATGGAGATGCCTTGAATCTATAACACATGTAAAGATTTTTGGATATTTTTGGTTTGTTTGGTTTTGTTTTTTCCTGTGAGTCCACGCCCTTGTTTTTAAAAACTTGGAAAGTAAGTGCTGGTATCCAACACCTGTAATCTTAGCTACTCAAGGGGCTGAGAACTGGGGATCATGGTTCAAGAAAGCCAGCCTAAGCAGGAAATTCCATCAGACTCTTACCTCCAATAAACTTCCAAAAAGCTAGAAGTGGCTGTAGCCTTCAACAAATAAGCTTAGGCACAGCACCCAGGTCAAGTACAAGCCCCATAACTGGTACCAAAAAAGAAAACATTAGAAGCTGATGCAGGTATATAAGATTCTAATAACAAGAATAGTCTTGTCACCTAGAAAAGTGTGTGTGTGTGTGTGTGTGTGTGTGTGTGTGTTTTGAGGTAGGGACTCGCTAATTACCCAGGCTGGGCTTGAACTCACAATTCTGTCACAGCCTTCTAAGTGTAGAAAACATTTCTTGTATAAACAGAAGGCTAATTTTGTTTTCATAAAATATAGCAAAGAATTTGGTCTTTATGTATAAACTGCAGATTTTGACTATGTGAGGAGAAAACTTACAAACATGAGATACATTTCCTTAAATCATTCATTACTTGTTCTAAATACTATGTTTGTATCAGAAATACATTTTGAGGAGACTTTAGTAGCTCCCATTTCCCACGAGGAACCAGCAGTGTTTTTCTTTCTCCATCATTTAAGTTGTTATACGAAAATCCTGGCTAAAACATAAATAATCTATATTTGTGCTATATAACTCAGTATTGAATTGGGTCATTGTATATGTACATATGAATACATACACATATGTGTGTATATATATGAGAATGTAGTCATTGTATATAAGTTATAAGTTATGCCAGGTATGATAGTACACACCTGCAATAATAGCATTTAGGAGGCTGAAGCAAACTGACATCCATCCTGGGCTCCATGGCAAGACCCAGTCTCAAAAAAAAATTTTTTAAGACAAATAATATTAAATTATAAACTATTATGTGGTCTTTTGTTTCAGATATTTTCCAAGTATGGCAAAGTTGTGAAGTAAGTATTTACATTATAAGATATATGTTTTATGTGTGTTTTTGATGCTTTTCTACATACATAAACATGTAGACTTTTCAAGACTTTATATGTGCAGTTTTGTTTTTTTAACTTGATTCTATTTTATGAATGGTCTTTTTTTTTTTGGGTCCAGTTGTGGGGCCTGAACTCTGGGCCTGGGCGCTGTCCCTCAGCTCTTCAGCTCAAGGCTAGCGCTCTACCACTTGAGCCACAACGCCACTTCCAGCTTTTTTCTTTTTGCTTATGTGGTGCTGGGGAATCGAACCCAGGGCCTCAGGCATGCAAGGCAAGCGCTCTACCACTGAGCCACCTTCCCAGCCCCATGAATGGTCTTTAGTGTACTATAAAAATTCAATTTAGCCGGTGCCGGTGGCTCACCCCTATAATCCTAGCTACTCAGGAGGCTGAGATCTAAGGATCATGGTTCAAAGCCAGTCAGGGCAAGAAAATCCCTGAGACTCTTATCTCCATTAAACCACTAGAAAACCAGAAGTGGCGCTGTGGCTCAAGTGGTAGAGCACTCACCTTGAGCTGAAGAGCGCAGGGACAGTGCCCAAGCCCAGAGTTCAAACCCCACGACCGACCAAAAAAAAAATTGTTTTTTTGGTATTGCTTTGTATATCACAATTTATTTAAATAATCTTCATAATCTCTTACTATTTTCTTACTAATATTGTTATCCTGTGTAAGACTCTCAAGGGTCTGACACTGGTGAGTCACGCCTATAACCCTAGCTACTCAAGTGGCTGAGATCTGAGGATCGCAGTTCAAAACCAGCCCAGTCAGAAAAGCCCACAAGATTCTTATGTCCAGTTAAAACCAGAAAACTGGAAGTAATGCTGTGGCTCAAAGTAGTAGAATGCTAATCTTGAGCAAAAGTGCTCAGGGACAGCACCCAGGCCCTGAGTTCAAGTCCCAAAACTGAGAGAAATAAAAAATAAAGAAATGAAAAGACTCACTAGGTATAGTGGTGAATACCTCTAAATCCTAGAATTCAGGATGTAGAGCTAGCCTGTGCTACATAGTGAGAACCTGTCTCATTTAATGTTAAACAGTGAGAGATGGGGTAGAACAATGGAAGGGATGACATGGATCAAGGTGTATTGTTCTTGCCAGCCACCTGTGCCTCACATTTATAACCTTAGTTACTCAGGAGACTGAGATCTAAGGATCATGTTTAAAGCTAGTGCTAGCCTTGAGCAAAAACTAAAGTTAGGGGTCAGCACTCAGGTCCCGGAGTTCAAGCCCCAGGACCAGCACCAGAAAAGAAAGCAAAACAAAAACCATGCACTGTTTTTATAGATTATTGAATTGAAACCCCTTTGTAAGTGAATAAAGACATCAACCTTCATTAGAACGTGTAATCAAGATTACTATAAATAGGTTGCCATTTATCAATTAAAAACAAAATTTAATATATCTGTGTATGATTTAAAAAGCATTTATGAGACTGATAAATATAGACTATATCCTTTGTAGAAAGCATAGATATCTCTAGAAACATACAAAAATGGTAATGAATGATAATGGGGCCAAGAATTCAGGAGGATTAGAAGAATTTGAGGTTGTCATTTACTCAGGCGACTACACTAAATGGCAAAGGAGTAAAAACATTCTAAATATATCTTACACTCAGTCTACATTGTGGAGTAAGCTTTAGAGCATATTTGTTTTGTTTTTGTTTTTCTTTTTGGGCACCTCAAGCTCTTTCATTTGAGCCGTGCCTCCAGCCCAAGAGCATCTTGACTATATATTTTTCTTCTAGCTTTGCAAGAATAATATTAAATAAAGTTCATTTGTATCTTGAAAATTGTTAACTTTTAATCTATTTTGGCTATTATATGTCATCAAAAATGCTTCTGGGTGTGCAGAATTTCATGCACACAGAATTTTGAATAGTCATGACATTTATACTTGTTACAAACATCAAATATCATGACCCTTTATTCCTAAGTACCTATTCATTTTTTTAAACTATTTTTTTTGTCTTTTCTTTTTTGGCACTGGGGATCGAACCCAGGACGTTGCACTTGATAGGCAAGCGTTTTGCCACTGAGCTACATCCCAGCCCCCCTAAGTACCTATTCATTGAATTAAGCCATCCATGTTAAATTTTATTGGTTGACCTAGTAATTTCCTAGATAGCATTTTTTCCCCTTGATGATATAATCTGATCTAGACTCAAGTACTACCTTTCTATCCTGCTTTACTTTTTTTTTTTTCTTGATGGGGGTTTGGAGCTTGAACTCAGGGCCTCCAAAGCTCCATAGTTTTTTAATTCAAAGCTGGTGCTCTACCATTGGAGCCATGCCTCCAGTTCTGGCTTTTTGGTGATTAATTGGAGACAAGAGTATCTACTTTGTCTGATCAGGCTGGCTTCTACCTGGATGCTCACATCTCAGCCTCCTGAGTAGATAGAGGTAAGCCACCAGTGCCTGGTTTAGCCTTCTTTGCTTTGTTTTGCTTTGCATTTGTTCTTTCATTCTATTATTTTTTGGGTGGGATAGCTAGTGCTCTACCACTTAAACCATGTTTTCAGCCCTGCTTTTTGCTAGTTACTTTAGAGATGGAGTCTAGTGAATGTAGTGGGTGCTGGTGGCTCACACCTGTAATCCTAGCTACTCAGGAGGTTGAGATCTGAGGATTGTGGTTCAAAGCTAGCCTGGGCAGGAGAGTCCGTGAGACTCTTACCTCCAATAAAACACCAGAAAACTGGAAGTGGCGCTGTGGCTCAAGTGGTCCAGCACTAGCCTTGAACTGAAGATCTAAGGGACGGTACCCAGACCCAGAATTCAAGCCCCATGACCAAAAAAAAAAAAAAGAATACAGCTACCTTCCCCCATCTTTTCTGTTTTGTTTAACTGATGTTCGTTATGATTAGATTTCTGTTGTATTTTCTTGGCTAATATTCTTAATACAAGCTGTATCCATTTCAGAGCATCACAGCCAAAGATATTTAGTGTCCATCTAGCCCTCATTAGTGATTTTGTGGGTGTGGATGTGGCAGTCCTGGAGCATGAATTCAGAGTCTGGGCACTGTTCTGAGCTTTTTTGCTCAAGGCTAGCACTCTATCACTTGAGCCATAGCTCCACTTCCAGGTTTTTATGGTTAATTGGAGATGAGTCTCACAGACTTTCCTACCCAGGCTGACTCTGGACTGTGATCCCTAGTCTCTTAAGTAGCTAGGATTATACATGTAAGCCACCAGCACCTGGAAAGAAAATACAGTTTTTTTGATAGTATTGGGATTTGAACTTGGGGCCTCATGCTACTGAGTCAGGCCTCCAGCCCTGTTTTTCTTTAAGTAAGTTCCAAAGTCTCTTTATCCATGCCCTATTCCAGCCAAGGAATCAACATTTCTTTAAAAGAAAGAAAAGAAAAAGAAGAAGAAAGGAAAGGAAGGAAGGAAGGAAGCAAAGATCGAACTTTAAACTTTTGGGAAATTAAGTAAATTCTTTTGTATTTTGTTTTGTTTTTTGTATTGAAGAGAATTCCTCAGCTTTGATTTGAATGTTTTTGCATGGTGAAGGAGTAGAGTTTACCAGCCAAGTGCCATTCCTGATTCCTATTCTTTTTATTTTTCCATGCCAGTACTGGATATACAACAATCCTCAGATCTCAGCCTCCTAAGTAGCCACCAGGACACAGCTTTTCTTTTTTCTTTTTCCCTTTCTTTTTTTGATTGATACTTGAGATTTAACACTGAGCCCTATGCATGCTTACGCAAGCACTCTGTACTGAAAAATATCATCTTTGTTCCTTGTTATCCCACGATACTGAAGAGAGGTTACTTAAATGTATTATTAATCTCTCTTACTTTCTTTTTTTTTGGGGGGGGGTCTGGTCGTGGGGCCTGAACTCTGGGCCTGGGAGCTGTCCCTCAGCGCTTCAGCTCAAGACTAGCACTCTACCACTTGAGCCACAGCACCACTTCCGGCTTTTTTCTTTTTGCTTATGTGGTGCTGAGGAATCGAACCCAGGGCCTCAAGCATGCAAGGCAAGCGCTCTACCACTGAGCCACCTTCCCAGCCCTAATCTCTCTTACTTTCTAAACATCTTATTATTTAGCTTTTTAAGACTTGAGTTTCCCAAGGAGTTATTAATATCTTTTTTTTTCCAGTCATGGGACTTGAACTCGGGGTCTGGGAATTGTCTCTGAGTTTTTTTTGTTCAAGGCTAACACTCTACCACTTGAGCCACAGCACCACTTCTGACTTCCTCTGAGTACTTTATTGGAGATAAGAGTCTCACAGACTTTCCTGCCCTGGCTGCCTTCAAACTACTACTCAGATCTCAAGCCTCCTGAGTAGCTAAGATTACAGGCATGAGCCACCAGCAGCCAGCTTAGTATCTGTCTTATTTGTTTCTGCCTTGTGTGTAACTGACTCTTCATTTATGTTTTAAGGGTTACTATAATGAAAGATAAAGATACTAGGCGAAGTAAAGGGGTTGCATTTATTTTATTTTTGGATAAAGACTCTGCACAAAACTGCACCAGAGCAATTAACAACAAACAGGTAAGTGACTCATTCTCATAAAGGTTTTTAACCCAAAAGCCTTTGTTCTCATCCAGGCAAAAAAATAAAAATAAAAAAGTTGAGATACAGGAGAGCCAAGTGTGATGAGTATAGAGTAAAAGGATTTGTAACTTATGGGAGGGGGACTAAAAAGAGATATCAAAGTTATACTAGCTTCCCACAATATTGGTAAAACAAAACAAAGAAAAAACAGCACTATAGAATTTATTACACATACAAAACAATTACTCAAATAACCCAAGAAATAAAATCGAATTGAAGATAAGAGCAAGCAGGATTAAATAACTAGTTTTAGGTTTCCATGAAATACATTCCTGTACATTTACATTTTTCTCTGGCTTAGTTATTTGGTAGAGTGATAAAGGCAAGCATTGCTATTGACAATGGAAGAGCAGCTGAGTTCATCCGAAGACGAAACTACTTTGATAAATCGAAGTGTTACGAATGTGGGGTGAGTGAACCTAAAACTTAATGGTATACAGTTGAAGGTATTTTCCACAGCATGGGGTTTGAACTCAGGCCTGGACACCATCCCTGAGCTTACTTTCCTACTTTCCTTCCTTCCTTCCTCCCTTCCTTTCTTCTTTTCTTTCTTTTTGCTCAAGGCTAGTGCTCTATCACTTTGAGCCACAGCTCCACTTCTGGTTTTCTGATGGTTAGTAAGAGTCCTACTCATTTTCCTGCCCAGCTGGCTTCCAGCCACAATCCTCAGAACTCAGCCTCCTGAATAGCAGGGATTATAGGTGTGAGCCACCAGCACCCAGCAGCAACAGCATTTTTTTAAATTGGTGCTCATCAGAATTGCTGGGTGGCTGGCTAAACCCAGGTTATAAAAATTGTATTACTTTGGTAAAGCCGGGCGCTGGTGGCTCACGCCTGTAATCCTAGCTACTCAGGAGGCTGAGATCTGAGGATCTCGGTTCAAAGCCAGCCCGGGCAGGAAAGACCGTGAGACTCCTATCTCCAATAAACCACCAGAAAACCGGAAGTGGCGCTGTAGCTCAAGTGGTAGAACGCTAGCCTTGAGCTGAAGAGCTGAGGGACAGCGCCCAGGTCCAGAGTTCAAGCCCCACAACCGACAAAAAAAAAAAAAAAAGAAAGAAAACCTAAAAAAAAATTGTATTACTTTGGTAAATTTCATTGAAATGTATGTCAAGATAATCTAGGTTGAGTCATACACGTTGCTTTCTCCAGGTTCTAAATCTTTAAAATCATTTTCTAACCAGTCTTAGAATAATTATTTGTCTCATTGTCTTAAAATTTTTTAGTAACTTACAAATTCTTGTCAAGGATAGTGCCTGTTTTCTATAACATATACCAGTGTTTAAGCCTAAGATAGATACAGTGTCATCATGGGACCCATTGTAAGATATGAAGTTAATATTTTGTGGCTAAACTATGTCCACATTTTCTAATTCTCCTCCTGATTGTCTGTTAGCCACTTAAAGTTTTGGTGATTGGAAAAGATAATAAATAAAAGCCAACGAAGGGCTGGAAAGGTGGCTCAGTGGTAGAGTGCTTGCCTTGCATGCATGAGGCCCTGGGTTTGATTCTTCAGCACCATAGAAGCAGAAAAAGTTGGAAGTGGTGCTGTGGCTCAAGTGGTAGAGCAATAAGCTTGAGCTGAAGAGCTGAGGGACAGTGCCCAGGCCCAGAGTTCAGGCCCAAAACCAACAAAAAAAAAAACCCAAAAAGCCAAGGAAGTGGGGGTGGGGGTGAGTGTGGCAGGTATCAGTGAGGCTTATGCCTGTAATACTAGCTACTCAGGAGGCTGAGATCTGAGGATCGAAGTTCAAAGCCAGCCCGGGCAGGAAAGTCCATGAGACTCTTATCTCCAATAAACCACTCAGAAAACCAGAGAAAGTGGCACTGTGTCTCAAGTGGTAGAGCACTCGACTTGAGTTGAAGAGCTGAGGGATAGTGCCCAGGCCCAGAGTTCAAGCCCCACGACCAACAACAACAAAAAAGTTTAAAATAAATAAAAGCTAGGGGGTGGTAACATACCTGGATTCCAAGAACTTGGGAAGATAGGAGTTTGGTCTACAGTTCAAAGGAGGGATTGAGAGACAGAGACACAGAGAGAGACAGAGAGAAAGAGGGTTGGAAGGTGAGGGGAGGAAAGGTGGAGAGAGAACCTTAAAACAGTTTTGTATAATGCCTATGATACCAAAAGAATTTTAGCCTAAGTTTCATAGTTGTAGGTTTCTAAGAGTCTGGAGGTATTAATGAGTGGCTGGAGAATTGTCCTGGCTACAAACTCACATGGAAGATTTAAAGTAGCTTGTTTGCTGGGAATGTGGCTTAGTACTTGCCTACCATGTATGAAGACCTGAAGTGGCTCTGTATGTAGTTCAAGTGGTAGAGTGCTAACCTTGAGCAAAAAGAAGCTCAAGAACAGTGCCCAGGCCCTGAGTTCAAGCCCCATGACTGGAAAAAAACAACAACAACAAAAACATAGCTTGCTGTCATTTCCCTACTGCAATTCCTTATTCCCCTCCCCACCAAAAACATACCTAACAGGATAAATAGGTAAGTGAAAGTGGGAACAGGAAATGTCCAGGAGTCATACTAGTTCTGTCAATTGTATCCGTCTAAACCTGAATAAATGTTTTGTTTTGTTTTGTTTTTTTGGGTCCGGTCGTGGGGCCTGAACTCTGGGCCTGGGTGCTGTCCCTCAGCTCTTCAGCTCAAGGCTAGTGCTCTACCACTTGAGCCACACACCACTTCGGCTTTTTTCTTTTTGCTTATGTGGTGCTGAGGAATCGAACCCAGGGCCTCATGCATGCAAAGCAAGCACTCTACCACTGAGCCACCTTCCCAGCCCCTGGATAAATGTTTTGAAACTGTTCCAGAGTCTTAAATTTTGTTTAAAAATTAGGAATGAGATTGGGCACCGATGGCTCAAGCCTATAATCCTAATTACTCAGGAAGCTGAGATCTAAGGATTGTGGTTTAAAGCCAGGGGCGGGAAAGTCTGTAAGACTCTTATCTCCAATTAACCACAAAAAAATGCAGAAGTGGAGCTTTAGCTCAAGTGTTAGAGTGTTGGCCTTGAGCATAAAAGCTCAGGGGCTAGGGGGCTGGGAAGGTGGCTCAGTGGTAGAGCGCTTGCCTTGAGGCCCTGGGTTCGATTCCTCAGCACCACAAAAGCAAAAAAAGAAAAAAGCCGGAAGTGGCGCTGTGGCTCAAGTGGTAGAGCACTAGCCTTGAGCTGCAGAGCTGAGGGACAGTGCCCAGGCCAAGAGTTCAGCACCACGACCGGATCCAAAAAAAAAAAAAAAAGCTCAGGGGCTATATCCAGGCCCAAAGTTCAAGCCCCCAGGATTGGCACATGTACACACACACACACACACACAATAGGAGTGGGGACTGGAGGTGTGGCTCAAGTGGTAAAGTGCTACCCATTTGTGGAAAAGCTAAAGAAGAGCATGAGGCCCCAAGTTCAATCCCCAGGGGGGAGGGGAGAAACACTGGGGGAAGGGAAACCAGGAGAAAAGGAGGGATGGGGTAACACTATTCAAAAATAAATGTACTCATTATGTTATTTAACAACCCTTCTGTACATCGCCTTTACAGTAAAAATATTTTTTTAATTTTTTTTTTTGTCTATTTTGGTCTGCGCACTATTCCTGAGCTCTTGAGCTCAAGGGAGCACTCTACCACAAGAGGCAGCACAGCACCACTTCTGGTTTTCTGGTGGTTAATTGGAGATAAGAGTCTTATAGCCTTTCCTACCAGGGTTAGCTTTGAACCATGATGCTCAGCCTCCTGAGTAGCTAGGATTACAGGTATGAGACACTCATGCCCAGCAGGATCTTTTTAAATTTTTTAAAAAGAACATTCAATTTGATTTAAAAAAAAAAAAAACCACTGTTGGCAGTCATGGTGGCACAGGCCTATAATCCTACAACAATCCCAGCACTTATTCTGAGGCTACATAGTAAAACCCTGTCTCAAAAAATATGAAACGGGGGCCCAGGCAGCCTCATAGCAGGGTGACCCAGGCCCATTGGACCGTCCCCCTGGTGTTAGGACTCTGCCCTAAAATGAGTGTTCTCATAGGTGGAAAGAGGTTTCACTGCTTAATTGACAGTGGGGCAGATCGAACCATACTCAGGGAGGAGGAAGTGTCCTTGGACTGGAAGCTTGCACCTGGGCCCCCGATATTGGGGGTAAGGGGCAACTCCCAGTCCAAAGAGATGGTTGCCCTTATGACATGGACTAGCCCAGATAGAGAACAGGGAAAGATACGCCCTTTAGTGGCAAAGAACCTCACTACCAATTTACTAGGGCAAGACATGCTAAGACAAATGGATGCCGTGGTCACTACAGACCATCGAGCATCCTATGATGATATCCTGGATGGGAAAAAAGCACAAAGGCTTAAACAAGATCTAGAGGGAGTTAAGGAAAAGGATTTTTTTAACTTTCATAATTACAGAGAAGAACATAGGGGACCCGCTCAGGTGCACCCCCAATCCTAAAGGCCACTGCCCCCCGAGTACCTCCCATTAGGTGGAAGCCGGGAAGCCCAATCTGGGTGGAGCAGTGGCCATTGACCAAACCTAAACTTGAAGCCCTCCACCTTCTGGTGGAGGAACAGATAAACCTTGGGCATATTCGCCCTTCTATAAGTCCTTCGAAAACACCCGTAATATTACAAAAAAAAGTAAAAAAAATATGAAACAGGAAAAATTAATAATCCTTTACTTAGGGGCTGGGAAGGTAGCTCAGTGGTAGAGTTCTTGCCTTGCATGCCTGAGGCCCTGGGTTCGATTCCTCAGCACCACATGAGCAAAAAGAAAAAGGCGGAAGTGGCACTGTGGCTCAAGTGGTAGAGCACTAGCCTTGAGCTGAAGAGCTGAGGGACAGCGCCCAGGCCCAGAGTTCAGGCCCCACGACCGGACTCAAAAAAAAAAAATAATAATAATCCTTTACTTAACCCAACATATATCCAAATTATTAATATATTTTACTTAACCCAATGTGTGTGTGTGTGTGTGTCCAAAATAATACCACTTGGATATGTAATTTTCTGTTGTTATTACTGTGTGGTGCCAAGAACTGAACCCAGCCTGGTTCAATACTAGGCATATGCTCTACTGCTGAGCTTTATCCCCAACTTCCACTTGTTTTTTTGTTTGTTTTGGTACTGGAACTTGAACTCAGAGCCTCATTATCACTCAGCTGTTTCATTCATGGCTGGTGCTTTACCACTTGATCCATGCCTCCCATTTTTAATAGTTAGGCAACATGTTGCAAATCAACAGTTTTATCCCCATTTTATCGAATAATAAGTTCAAAATGTAATTTTAAATTGTCTTATTTCTTGAAATTTGGTATTTTAGATGTTTGAAGAAATCTTTTACTTACAGAAACTTCTAAAATACTCCCTGATTGTCAAAGTAGCTTGTTGGGAATTATAATTCAAGGTCTTCCTTAAAATAATTTCTTTATGGTTTTGTTTGTGCCAGTCTCGAGGCTTAAACTCAGGCTCTTTATCTGAGCTTATCTGTTCAATGCTAGCACTCTACCACTTGAGCCACAGCCCCACTTCCAGCTTTTTGTTAATTGGAGATAAGAGTCTCATAGACTTTCCATCCCAGGCTGGCTTCAAGCTGTGATTCCCAGATCTCAGCCTCCTGAATAGCTGGGATTACAGACATGAGCCACCAGTGCCTGGCTAGTAATAGGTTTTATCATTTAGTTATTTTTATATTCTTTATATTTTTTAAATTCTGAAATTTTTTAGTCATAATAAAGTTTCTAACAGCCAAAAATACAGTATTTTTCCTTTCTTTTTTGATGTTAAATAAAAGGAAAGTGGACACTTAAGTTATGCCTGTCCTAAAAATGTGCTTGGAGAACGTGAGCCTCCAAAGAAGAAAGAAAAAAAGAAAAAAAAGAAAATTCCTGAACCTGAAGAAATGTATGTGTATCTACTCTTAATAAATACCTTAGGATATTGCTTTTGTCTCTTACCTGCTAGTTGATAACATTCTGACTTTTTTTTCCTAATTCCTCAGTGAGGAAGTAGAAGAAAGTGAAGACGAAGGAGAAGATCCTGCTCTTGACAGTCTCAGTCAGGCCATAGCATTCCAGGTATTGCATTCTTTTAAAGGTTCCAGGGTTGAGGATAAAGCTCAGTGACAGAGAACTTGCCTAGCATGGTATAAGCCATGGTTTCAATCTGCAGCACTGCAGGGAAGAGAGACAGAGAGAATCTGTCTGATGTCTAGTGTTCCAGTGGATTTTTTAGCCAGGCACAGTGGGCGCCTACAAGTTCAAGACCAGTGTAGGCAACAATACAGCTCCCTATCATGGGGAAAAAAATATACAGGAGTGGTAGTACATTTCTGGGATCTCAACATTTAGGAGGCCAAGGAAGGATGATCATGAGTTTGAAGCCAGTTTGAGCTATATGGTGATACATTATGTAAAAATAAAGTTAAATTTGAAAATAACAAATTAGACAGTAGTGGCTTACATAGCAAATTATACCAGTGATCCTAGGGAAACTGGTAACAAGGAAGATCATAGTTTGAGGCCATTCTAGGCCTTGAACTCAACTTAGACCCCTTCTCATCCCATAGCTAGATAGAGTAGTTACCTGTCTGTCCTCTCAAGCTTAGTTGGAAAGCTAAAAATAACCAATGAAAAGCAAAATTAGAGGCATGGCTCTGTGGTATTATACTAGCCTAGCAAGCTCAAGGCCCTGAGTTCAAATCTCATACCACCAGAATCAGTCATCAAGGTACCATGGAATGAAAGGCACTATGAAACCTGATTAAAATTCTATTTTCCTATGTACTCTACTGATCGTTTCATCATAGCAACCTTTCTCTCCACCTCCTAAATTTGAAGCAACAGTGCTGTTTCTCTAAGATCTTTTTATGAATCAAATTTTCACTTGTACATTCTAGATTTTAAGGGCCCCATAACATTTTAAATGTGTTTTTCATTATAGAATTGTGCAGAGCTAGGGTGAGTTTAGCTCAACCAAAAAGATTTCTCAGCAATTGTCTAGAATGATTTTGGTTAGCATTGTGATGAGACAAAATTGAGTATGAGAGTTTCTTGTTTGAATGACCTGAGAGGGCAGAGGTTCTGGTAATGCTGGCATTTGTGTTATGGTTTTGCCATGGTTGAATTGATGCACCATAAAAACTACAGGTTTTGTTTTCTTTATGTTCTGAATCACATTGTAGCAAGCCAAAGTTGAAGAGGAACAGAACAAATGGAAACCTAGCTCAGGGGGTCCTTCAACATCAGATGATTCAAGACGTCCAAGGATAAAGAAAAGTGCATATTTCAGTGATGAAGAAGAACTTAGTGATTAACATGGTATTTATTATGTAAATAGCTTTAAAATTAAAAATAATAAGAGTACTCACTTCAGTTGGGGACTGAAGATTATTTTTAATATTTGATCCTAAGAACTTTTAATCCACTTTTACTATAAAAGAGTTTATACAGGCAGGAAAGTCCTCGAGATTAACCAATTAACCACTTTTCTCTAATTAACCACTAAAATTAGGAAACGCATCTGTAGCTCAAGTGAGAGCACCAGCCTTATCAAAAAAGCTAAAAAAAAAAAAAAAATAGCTCCCAGACCTGGAAAAGAAGAAAAAGGAGGAGGAAACAAAAGAATTTATTTTTTAAAAAAAGAAAAAGTGAAAACAGGCACTGGTGGCTCATCCTAGCTATTCAGGAGGCTGAGATGAAGATCACAGTCCAAAGCCAGCCCAGGCAGGAAAATCCATGAGACTCCTAAACTGAAAGTGGTGCTGTGACCAAAAAAAAAGTTAAGATAATTTTAAAATATTATGTTTCTGTCTCACATTGACTCCATACAGCTTGAATATCCATAAAATGTAAATCCAAAATCTGAAATGTTCTGTTATTTAAAACTTGAAAGCACCAACATGATGTTTCAGGTGAAAAATTCTACCTTATGAAAAAACATCCTGGGACTAGGAATGTGGCTTAGTGGTAGAATGCTTACCTAGCATGCATGAAGCCCTAGGTTCAATTACTCAGTACCACATAAAGAGAAAAGGCTGGAAGTGGTGCTGTGGCTCAAGGGGTAGAGTTCTAGCCTTGAGCAAAAGAAGCTCAGGGACAGTGCTCAGGCCCTGAGTTCAAACCAAAAAAACAAAACAAAACAAAAATCCATATTCACTAGTCTGGACATGGTGGCTCAAGCCTGTAATCCTAGTTATTTGGGAGTCAGAGATCAGGGCATCTCCATTCATAAAAGTTGCTAAGACATAAAAGTTGTGAGATTCCATCACAGCCAATGCCTGAGCATAATGGCACACACCTGTCATCCCAAGCTATAGGCTCTAGCTGAGTGCAATGGCAATACACTTGTCACCACAGTAACAAAAGGAAACACAAATGTCTATATGTGTGTTAAACACCTTCAGATTAAATGTGTAACAAATGAATTTTATGCTCTGACGTCCCCAAAATATCTCATTTGTAAATATTCTAAAATCTTAATTACTTCTGTCCCTGATATTTTGTATAACTGACAAAGCCTATACTAGAAATCTATGTTAATCTTTACAACAACTAAATTTAATTTTTAAATAATATACCTGTGAAATGCTATTATCAACACATTAATAAAAGGTAGGTAGTAGAATGATTTGAAGACCAGCATAACAGCACACAGCTATAACACCAGCCACTTAGCAGACAGAAGAGAATCACTAAGCCCAAAGCCAATCTGGGCTACAGCAGCCTCTAGGCTACCATATGCCATGTATGAGTTTGAGGCCATCCTTGGCTATATAGTGCGACCCTGGCTTCCAAAAAGAAGCTCTAAAAAAGCTTATAACCAAACATCTCAGTTATTTGTCCTGTTAATAACAAGTTCTATTCCTCAGATGTAACTACTTACACCTATTTCTCCTCATATGTGTCCGTATCTCACTAAATAAAATGCATTTCTGTTCATTCGTAAGTCAGGATTTCTCTATTTTATTCCCTGTGCCTTTATCTTCTCAGTGTGGCCACACCAGACTTTCTGGCTAAATACCCATTGGTTGCTTTGTTTCTTATGACCATGTTTATACTATTCATGTGTTTGTCACTTTTTTTTTTTACTTTCTTTAGGTAGTTATACAAAGGAGTTATCAATCCAACATGTCATAAGTACAATGTACCTTGATCAGTGTCACCCCTTCTGTCATTCTTCAGCCACATGCCCCAACTCTACCCATCTCCTATGTTATCTGGTTCCATTTCACATCTGTATACTGAATATAATGACTGTATTCTTATTCTCTCCATTCCTCTGCCTCCCTCCTCTTGAACTTAACCTTTTCTGACAAAACATGTTTTGTCTTCCTGGCATTTATTTTTTTAAACTGTAAATTAGTTTTTCAAAGGAGTTATACCATTGGAATCCTCCCCCACATACAGTTTAGTCAATTTGTGTATATCTGTCCATAGGATACTGTATATGTGTATACATATGTATTCATAATTTATGTGTTAACTTCTACACATGTGAGAAAATATGCACCCTATGTCTGTTATTTCACTTAACATAATTTTTCCAGATCCCATCCATTACCCCACAAATGACACTATTATTTTTCCTGATATATGAGTAAAATTCCATTGGATATATATGTGTATATATATATATATATGAATATGTGTGTATATATCTACACACACACACACAAACACACACACATGCCATACTTTCCTGATCCATTGGTCAATTGTTAGGTATCTGGGCTGTTTCCATAACTTGGCTATGGTGAATTGTGAGTGTGCAACAGTATTGTAACCTGACTTGGAATCTTCTGGATAAATACCCAGCAGTCATATCACTGGATCCTAGGGTAGTTCTATATTTAGAGTTTGAGGAATCTCTAAACTGCCTTCCAAAGTGGTTGCATTATATTACATTCCCATGAACAGTGTGATAAGGCTTCTTTTTCCCCCACATCCCCACCATCATGTATTCCTGATGATGCCCTTTCTGAATAGAGTGAGATGGAATCTCAATGTTGTCTTGATTTGTATTTGTATTTCTTTTATGGCAATTCTTCATGTGTTTATAGGCCATTTTTACTTCTGAGAAGTTTCTATTTAGCTCCTTTGCCCATGTGTTAATTGAGTTAGTGATTCTTTGGAGGAGAGGAGTTAGTTTTCTTGAGTTCTTTGTGTCTTTGTGTGTTCTAGGAATTAGGCCTTGTCAGACAAATTTACCTTTTTTTTTTTGGTCAGTCCTGGGCTTGAACTCAGAGCCTGGCTGCTGTTCCTGAGCTTCTTTTGCTCAAGGCTAGCACTCTACCACTTGAGCCACAGCACCACTTTCAACTTTTTTTGGGTTTATGGTACAAAGGAATTGAACCCAGAGCTTCATGCCTGATAGGCAAGCACTCTACCACTAAGCCACATTCCCAGCTCTTACCACATTTCTTTATGACCAAATCTTCCTATGTCTCATAACACTTGGCTATATGAAATATGATTATGGAGCTTTTAATTTTCTACTGTGTATAGTTCTGTTAGAATCTTTTCTAACAACATCCTTATATTACTTTTTTAATTACAAAAGCAGTAAGATCTGAAACCTACAAAGGCAATGAAAATGTTAACTGCCTCCCTATCATAAATCTTCCAGTCTCATAGCTTGGCACACACCTGCAAGTCCAGTACTCAGTAAGCTAGGACAAGATCACAAGATAGAGGCTGTCTGTACTACAAAGTTATATACTGCTTCAAAAAAAATTTTTAATGAAATTATATATTTCTGGCAGAATCAGTGAAATACTACAAATATATATATATATTTTATATAAAATATATATATACATATATATTTTATTTATTTTTGGTCAGTCATGGGGCCTGAATTCTGAGCCTGGGCACTGTCCCTCAGCTCTTCAGCTGAAGGCTAGCACTCTACCACTTGAGCATCAGCCCCACTTCCGGCTTTTTCTGCTTATGTGGTGCTGAGGAATTGCACCCAGGGCCTCATGCATGCAAGGCACTGAGCCACTACCACTGAGCCACCTTCCCAGCCCGAAATCAGTTTTGTTTTGTTTTTAATATATGAGCTGGGTACTGGTGGATCATGCCTGGAATCCTAGCTGTTCAGGAGGCTAAGATATGGTTCAGAGCCATCCTTTTGAGAAAACTCCCTGTGAACCTCTATCTCCAATTAACCACCAGGAAACTGGAAGTAGTATTGTGGCACTAGCCTTGAGCTAGTAAAAGTTGAGGGACAGCTCTTAGACCCTGAGTTCAAACCCCCACAATTGACCAAAAAAATAAAATGTGTGTGTGTGTGTGTGTGTGTGTACGGGATTGGGAGGGGAAAAACTGGGAGAAAATGCGGGAGAGGTGACATTGTACTCATTACCTGACTTACATAACTGTAACCCTTCTGTATATCTCCTTTACAATAATTTTTTTAATACACATGAAAGATTTTTCTTTTTTTTTAATTTAATTTTATTTTATTTGTGAACATACTGTACAGAGGGGTTACAATTACATGGGCAGGATAATGCATACATTTCTTACCAAGCATTGCAGCCTCCTCCTTTGTTTACCCTTCACATCCCTTCCCAGCCTCCAGCCTCCCCCCTGAAAGATTTTTCTTAAATCTACAGTCTGTCATAGAAAATGAACTATAGACATAAACAGAATACACAGAAGAATAGTAGAGTGAAAAGATTTTTACATCTTTCTAAATTTATTACATTAACTTTTTTTTTTTTTTGCTGGTCCTGGGGCTTGAACTCAGGTTTGGGCTTTATCCCTAAGCCTCTCTGTGGTTAAGGCTAATGCTTACCACTTCCAGCTTTTTTCTGTTTATGTGGTACTAAGGAATCAAACCCAGGGCTTCATGCATACTAGACTAGGCAAACACTCTACCAGTAATCCACATTCCCAGCCCTGAAACATTTTTTTGTTGTTGTTGTTGTTGGTCCTGGGGCTTGAACTCTGGGTTTGAGCACTGTCCTGCACTCTTCAGCTCAAGGCAAGCACTCTACTGCTTGAGCCACAGCGCCACTTTCAGTTTACTAATGGTTTATTGGAGATAAGATTCTCACAGTCTTTCCTACCCAGGCTGGCTTTGAACAGTGATACTCATATCTCACCCTCCTGAGTAGGTAAGATTACAGACGTGAGCCACCAGCAACCCGCCCAGCACTGAAACTTAACCTGGTTGGAATAAAATCTCAAGAAAATAGAATACTCAGGGTATTGTACAAGTATCAAGTAGTAAGAATGTTTTATTCTTTAAGCCAGACATTACATTCTACTTTATTCTACAGTTTTGAGCTACAAAGCTAGTCACTATCTCAAAAGGAAAAATAAGGAAAAAGGCTTTATGTA